CGGAGTTCCTGCTGGGGGGCAACATCTTCGACCCGCTCAACCTCAACAGCCTCTTGGACGAGGAGGTCAACCAGGCGCTCAACGCCGAGACCCCCAAGTCGTCACCGCTGCCTGCCAAGGGCCGGGACCCAGTGGAGATCCTCATCCCCAAGGACATCACCGACCCCCTGAGCCTCAACAACGCCCAGGAGGACCCCCCGGTGCTGGCCTCCCCCATCAAAGCCGGGCGCAAGCGGCACCGCCACCGGGGGGCCCAGCGTGCCGTGGGGGGCTTGGAGGGGGGCGGCAAGCCCCCCCCCGCCACCACCGCCGCCTGCAAGTCGTGCCAGAAGGCCTGCAACGGGGCCACCCCACAGCCCTACGAACTCAACACTGCCATCAACTGCAGGGACGAGGTGGTCTCTCCCCTGCTGCTGGAGAGCGGGGAACTGCCGCCGGCCCAGCAGGCCTCGAGGAGCATCACCCCCTCATGCCCGTCCACAGCCTCTTCAGTAAGTGCCGGGAGCCGCCACCACCATCGCAAAAGGCGCAGGACTTGTAGCAAATCGGAAGGGGCAGGGGCCCGGCAGCAGGGAGCCAGCCACCCCTCCGGTGAGCAGCCTAGCCGAAGCAGCCCAGAGCGGGGGCAAAGCATGCCGCGGGTCCGTCACCCCCAGGCTTCCTCCATGCAGCAGCCTCAGCCTCGCCGGGCGCTGCAACACAAGTTCCAGTACGGCAATTACTGCAAGTACTACGGCTACCGCAACCCCAACTGCGAGGACTCTCGGCTGCGGGCAATGAAGCCGGAGTGGTTCCGAGGCCGAGAGGTGCTGGATGTTGGTTGCAACGTGGGCCACCTGACCTTGAGCGTGGCCAAGAAGTGGGGCCCTGCCAGAATGGTGGGGATGGACATTGATGGAGCCCTTATCCATTCGGCGCGCCAGAATATCCGGCACTACCTTTCTGAGGAGATGCAGGAAGAGCAGCAGCGGCCCCAGGACAGTCGCAGTGATGGGGAGGGGGGCACCCCAGCCAAGAAAACCTTTCCTGCTTCTCTCATGGCCAGCCGAGGTCCGATTGCTGCACCAAGGGTGCCCCAAGAAGGGGTTGATGCAACCGTCTTTCCTAACAACGTGATCTTTGTCAAGGTAAGTAAGAGAAGCTCCGTTGGGCCTGCTGGAATTCCGCTCCACCATCTGCCTGGGCAGCTGTGACTTGAGCCTGCTGTCCCGCAGCCCTGTTTTCTGCAGCAGGTGGGAGAGCTGTGCTTTTCCAGGCAGCTCTCCCTCCACTACCTGAGAACAAATTAGTTCGGCTCCCTAGATGACCAGACCAGGTCCTCTGATCCCATCCCCCATTGAAAGTCCCTTCAGCTGCGTGGAGGGTCATCAGCCGTTCTAGGGCAGGCACCTGCTTAAAGAGCACTGATGGGCCCTTAAGGGGTAACAGTGGTTGAGGGTGGGGCCGAAGGAAGAAGGCGTGGCCTGGGTCATCTCTGATTAGGTTCTCCTTGGGTCCTGAAAAGAGGGGCTTTGGAAGTGGAGACTTGGCATCCTTGGCTGGCCTGGGCCTGGTGGGAGAGGAGGCGGGAGTGATTCCCCCCTCTTCTGCTGGTCTTAGTGCTTCAGTCTGATGCATGGGCTCTTGGTGAGGAGTCCCCCAAGATACTGGAAAAGCCTTGCAATGGGGGGAGTTTGTGGCATCTCCGTAACTGCCGGGGCCAGGTGTCCCTTCCGATGCCCTGGGGGAGTTGAAAAGTCTTACCTCGAGGGAACGGGGGCGGGGCTGCAGCCAGGATCCCCCCTCAGCATCTCCAGGGAAATCCTCTTGGGCAGCCAGGCCTGGGGGAGATGCGGAGGCTGAGCAGAGCAACTGGAGAAGGGGCCTTGTGGGGGTGGGGGATGAAGCAAAGGCACTGCCAGATCTTGGAAGATCAGGCAGCCCATTTTATGCAGGGGCGGGAGGGAGGAATCTGTTCCTTGCCAGTCCAGAGGCAGTAAGTATGTTGCATTCTAATTCCGCCTGGGGTTGGGGGCATCACATGGGCCAAGGGTTTGGGGAAATTTGGAAGGGGAGCACTCCAGGATGAGGCCCCCAAAACACCCTGCACAAAGTGGGGGAGAGGCTCCAGGGACCCATGGTAGCAGCTGAGCTCTGGGCAGGAGACTTGCAAATGCTCCTTCCGCTGGGGGGGGAGAGTTTGCTCCGTGTGCTTGGAGCAGGCTTTGACCTGAAGCCGGGTTGGGTTGCGTTGGGTTGGGTTGGCTTTCAGAAAGCCATCCTTGCCATATCAGGCAAATCAGAGACAGTTTGGGGTGCAAGCCCCTTCCGCACAGGCAGAGGTAAGCTGTACTTTGTTGCCCCTCCTCCAGTGGCTTCTGCTTGGATACAGGGGCTGTCAACTAGCAGAGTCCCCTGGCCTGGCGAAGGAGGATGTTTCAAGTGGGATTCTCTGGGAGGCAGAACAAAAGCTGGAATTCGAGTAAAGTTCCCCCTCAGCTGGCCCACCCTTAGAATGGCCTGAGCACAGAAGAGCTTGGGGCGCCCCTCCTTCTGGCCTTTGGAGCTCCAGCTGCAGGGGCCTCTGCTGGCCTGGATCAGGACCTAAAGTTGGACCACAAGAGCACCCGGGGTAGAGAGTAAGGAAGATGACCTTGACCAAGACATGCAGCAGTCGTTACCTTGGCAAAGGGGGATGAAATGTTTCAAGTCCAGAACACCCAGATAATGCTTGGAAGTGGCTTGGGCAGACACCCCCCTAATTCACTGAACTTTAAGAGGAGTATAGCCCAATCAGATTTGCAAGATTCTGTTGTTACAGACACTCTCAGTAAAAGTAATTTTCGCCTTCCCCTTGCAGCTGATTCCCTAGTATGGTCTACCTATGGGGGATGACACCCAAGGATCCCCCTTTCCCTTCTGCTCTGCGTGTGTAAATGCAGAGGGGGGAAGAGCAGCCCAGAAAAGCCCTTGGGAATCTGGCTCTGCCTCCCTCTTTCCACATCCACGCATGAGCCTAGGAGCCCCTCCTTGGTGCCAGCATGGCCTTGGCAAAACCGAGGCCTGACTGGCGTGATCCTTGTTGCCAGACCTTGGCTCTTTCCCCCCGGAACAGAGAAGAGGCTTCTACCAGGCCTACCTGCTTAGCAAATATTTAGCTGAACTTCCCCCTCCTCTCCTCCCACCTGCACTGGGCTTCCTTGCTTTCAAGCACAAGGTTCAGAGTTGCTGACTTGTCAGGCTCTGGAGGGGGAGTTGGAGCTCAGGTGAGGAGGGAAGCACAGCTGGAGCCCTCACAGCTGTGCTGGTTTCAAGGTTGCCAGTTGCAAAGTTGGCTGCTCATCTCGCAGCAGGACCTTGAGGTACCTTCCCTCCAAATCTGCAACCCCCAAAAGCAGGGTCTCACAGTCCATTGGGGTTACCTAGTGAGGGGTTAAGGGCCCCCAATCCAGGGATGAGCGCAGTTGGCGCACAAGATGGATTTGGGCAAAGGCTTTTGTGGCCACAGCCACCACCTCCCTGTCTAACAGGAGCTGTGGGCCATTGCACATCTGGAGGGGGGCAACCCCATTCAGAACTAAGAATGGAAAACCCCCAGAGAGGGGTGGTCCCTGCTTGGCTTCATCAGTATTCCTTCCCCTTCAGGCCCCCACAGCCTCCAGGCACTGGGGCAAAACTTTGTCACTTGGTCAAGCAGAGACTAAGAGCGAGGACAGAATTTCATCAGTGCCCCGGTGGTGCCTGTCTCGGGCTTTCAGAGGTCGTTGCCCAGCCTCTCCCAGTGATGCTGAGAAGCCGGGGGGGGAGAAGGCTGAGCGGGTCAGGGGGAGCCACAGCCTGCCCCCGGGCCAGCAGCAGACCAACTCTCTGGCTTCCTTGGCAGGGCAACTACGTCCTGGACCGGGAGGAGCTGCTGGAAGCCCAGAAGCCAGAGTACGACGTGATCCTCTGTCTCAGCGTCACCAAGTGGGTGCAGCTCAACTGGGGCGACGAGGGCCTGAAGCGTCTCTTCAAGCGCTTCTACCGCCACCTTCGGCCAGGCGGGATCCTCATCCTGGAGCCCCAGGCCTGGTCCTCCTACAAGAAGAGGAAGAACCTGACGGTGAGTGAGAGGCTGGCTGAGCCCTGGTGAGAGGGCTCTTCCTGCTGCGGGGCAGGGGCTGCCCCTCTGAACGCGCTCCAGTAGGCCAGGGTTAGACCTTGGGCTCAGCGGCTGGGGTGGGCTCCATCTCACCCGAAGTCTGCCGCTGAGGAGCCTCTGGAAGTGGGGGGGAGGGGGCGTCCTTCTCTTGCTGGTATGAATTCTCTCCCATCCTGTTCCCAGGAAACGATATGCAGGCATTACCACCGGATTAAGCTGAAACCTGACCAGTTTCCTTCGTACCTGACCTCCTCCGAAGTGGGTTTCTCCAGCTATGAATTGGTCGCCATGCCCAGAAACACATCGAAAGGTGATTGGGCAGAGGCGGGTGGGCAGGGATGTGCCAGAGCAACTCCAGAATAACACTGCTTGGCCAGGTGCTTGGAGAATTCTCCCGCAAGTCACAGACTGGGCAACACCCTCCAGGATTACCAGCCAGAAACTCTGGAGGGCAGCAGGATGGCAAAAGTGGCATAATCCCCTCCTGCTGCCCTGCCACAAGCAGCCATGCCCTTCCTGGACAGCAGAGTCTTTGCTGCAAGAGCCAATTGCGCTGCTTGCTGGCACAGCTGACCAAGGGTCAGCCAGACCAGCAGCATCATGGGGAAGGTGGATTGACACCAGGGAGGCCCGAGGCCAATGCCCCCTCAGTCATGGAAGCTCCCAGGGAGACGCCCAATCGCTTCCTCAGCCCAACTACCTCAGGGTGGCGCTGGGGAGGGGGAGGAGGGGGTGCCAAGTGCAGATTCGCATAGGAGGCCAGCCACTGAGAGGGCTGGCTGGCAAGAGAGGCTCTTGGCCTGCATGTGGTTGGGGGGCTGCCCAGCTCTCCCACAAGGTGAGAGAGCGTTTGCTAATGTCAGCAGTCCATGTGGTAGACAGAAGCTCTGGGGCTGGTGGGACAGTTTCAGAAGCCCCCTCGGATTTCAAAGAGAAATCCCTGATTGGTTCTTCCAAATCTCACTGGCACCAGCTGCGGTCTTGGGAAAGGCTTCTGATATTTTTCTCCCCTGAGATCATCGGAGTCTTTAATACAAGCAATGATGAAGATCGTCAGCGCTTCAGACACTCTGTCCGGAACGTATCAGAGCATGTAGCATTCTTCTGGGTCATCCTAAAGCTGTTAATGACACAATTACAGGGAATGGCACAGGTTTTTTGTGGGGGGGCAATAGGTGCTGGGTTGCACTGAGAAAGAGTTTTTGGAGAGCAAATCCACCCTGGTCCCAGGGATGGGCTTCTGTAGGGAGAGGCAGAGATGGGTTTCGAAACAAACATGGATCGTTCTCCAGCTTGGCCAGGTATTGGAGCTGCATGTTGTGGGGGGCTGACATCTTGCTCTTCCTGCACCTGCCCATCAGAAATTGGTGGGGAGCGCAGAGGATGCACGCAAGGGCCTCTAACACCCTTCTCTGGGCTCCCCCACAGGATTCCAGCGCCCCATCTATCTCTTCCGCAAGGCGCACCCTGGAGTGCACTGAGGAGCCCTGCTGTGTCTTGAGCGCCAGTCCCAGGCTGCCTCCTTCTCTTTTCTTGACCTGCCACGGTTGCTTCTGGGGGGGCAGGCAGCTGGGCTAGCCCCCACTGATGAATGTTGGAGTCTTCTGAAGGCAGAGGGAGATCCAAACTGGCCTGCTGTGGATTTTTAAGCCTGATGGAGCTGCCTGGCCTGGCCCCAGAAGCAGCTTCCACGCCTCAGCCCAGCGGGGGATGAAGCAGCACACCCAGGACTCTCTTCAGCACAACCTGAGCCCCTGATGGGATGGAGAAAATATGGCATGATGGGGGGGGATGGGGGGCCAGGAAAAGGTGAAGCGGCTCTGTCCGGGATCGGGTCCTCTATTTGCGAGCAAATGGGAAAGCGAGAAGAGCTCCCCTTCCCCAGATGGCAAAAAGGGCCTAGCCAGTTGCTTGTGCCTCTGCCCTGCCAGAGCAGGCTCCTTTTCTTGCCCACCATCTTGAAATTTAAGCTGGGGCGCAACAGTGCTTAAGTTCCGCTAGATCGGAGCAGGGTTGGGGGATAAAACGGTGCCTCTTTCTTTCCCCCATCCCTGGGAGTGCGAACATGGCAAAACGGATGCAGCTTTTGGGCCTCTGATACTTCGCCTGGTTCCTAACTTGACTGATAACCATCTCTTCTCTGGAAGGGGTGCGCTTCATTGAGCCTGTAGTGGGGGGGGGAGCAGGGGAGAGGCCTCTCCCTTGGAGAAAGAGACAGTGCTGACTGGAGAACTTCAAGCTAGCTTTGAGGGCTCAGCTGATCTCTGTGAGGTCCCACATAGCCCTCTGCCCAATTAGGCTTCCTTTTGTGCGATGGGAGAAACAACGTAAGACCCACCGCTTGCTGGCTGTGATCTTAAATGAAGATGCCCCCTCCTTCCAGTCTGGAGCTGTCTGCCTTTTGGAGGGCCAAAAAGAGCCCCCCCCCCAACTGTAGTAGTAAGGTGATCTTGTTTGAAAGGAGTTTTATCTTTTTAAAAAAAGTTGATTATATATATAAATAAAGCCTACAGATTATTACCAGCTGCTGTCCCAATCTCTGGAGGGAAGGGGGAGGGGTAGTAAAGAGCAACTTGCTCCTGAAGGGTGGGCTCGTGCTCTCTCGATGGGCAAAGGGCAGTGCTGGCGTTGAAGAAAAACTGCCAGAACAAGTCCTTTGCAGCAAGAAACATGTCTGACGTGTACTTCGATGTGAATCCTTTTGGCAGTAAAGTGAAAAACCACGCAATCCAGTGGCAGTTATAATTTATGTATAAAGTGTCGGGAGGGGGTTGAGCGATGCTTCTGAGTGAATGGCCACCAGCAAGGTGGCTCAAGTCCGTGTCTCTAGAAAGCGGGCCAGCAGGAGGGCCCGGCGTGTGGTCTCTGTCCTTCCTCAACTCGCCCACTGCTGCAGCTTCCGGTACATAAGGAACGTGGTGGCTGGATCTCGCCTCTGTGCCTGAAGCTTCAGGGGTGGCAGCCCCTCCACCTCCAGGACGGGGGTCTCTGTGAACAGCTCCTCTGGCCTGTAAAACGCCATCAAGTCAGGCCGTGCGCCGGCCCCTTCCTACAACAAAGAGGAAGAGCTTCGTGCACGGAACATGCTCCCCAGGCCTTCCTGAATTGCCTGCAACCTGCTTAACTCAGCCCCAGCCCCACCTGGCAGACTGCAGGCAAAGCCCCTTCCCAGGCGAGGGCAGCTCCTCACGAGGCATGGGCTGTGCCCTTTCCTGCCACCTCCTGGGCTTGTAGCAGGAGATGATGCCCGGGGCCTACCTTTCTGCCTCCAGGATGGTACTGGGCGAGGGCAAGTTTCTCCTGCACAGCAGAGTTGATCAATTCATCTGCTGGCACCTGCAGGCTGATGAGGCCCTGGTAGAGCTGCTGGTCCCGGGGAATGTTCAGACCTGAAGGAGCAGAGGGGGTGTGCAGCTTTGGTGAACTAGGGCAACTGTTGGGGCCACCCTAGTCGCTTTAGATCCACTTTTAAAAACCACAAGTCGTGATGTCTCTCCTATTGAAATCATTGGGGCTGGACTGCCACTAAGGAATGGACTTGGGATAGAGACCATCCTTCCCTAACCTGATGGCTTTCCCATTTTAAAAATTTGTTTAATTCAATGCATATGGCTCCCCGCTTAGCCTATGTCCTGAGACTGCAACTCCCAGAACTCTCAGGGGCCCCGCGGGCCAGGCATTCTGGGAATCACAGTCTCAAGCCACCTGGGGGCTGCTGAGTGGGCGAAGGCTGCCGCAGTCACGGCCCCGCTGAGCCCCAAGAGCCAGTTCTCGCCTGTCGCTTTGCATAGGAGCAAACACGCTTTCCTGTGCCCCAGCCGCGCTCTTAAGGCAATTCGGTTCCATTCAAACCCAGAGCTCCTACGCTGCCATCGTTTTCCACTCCACAGTGTTTCTTTGGTTCAGCCCGCCCAAGCTGAGTGGCGCCAGGTGCGTTGGGCTTTTATACTCAGGTAAAAAAGAGGGGAGCTGTAGCCCAAGGTTTTGGCCAGGAGCCCGTTAGTGCCTTTGGAGATGCTGCCAGAGGCCTGGTTTGCACATCTCACTAAGCCAGTGTTTCTCAACCGCCTCAACTCGAAGGTGGGTGGACTTCGACTCCCAGAATTCCTCAGGCAGCACACACGGAGGAGGAATGTCCGCACAGTGGCTGAGGAATTCTGGGAGTCGAAGTCGAGTTGAGGAGCTTGAGAAACACTGCGCGAAGGCGACTGGTCAGAGGCGGATCTGGCGGCTCTTCTGCGTGCGGGGGAGATGCTCGCCGCGCAACGTGAGCAAGGAGGCCGGGACAGGAGCGAGCCCACGCGCCTCCCCCCGTTTGGGGGTGCTACCTGGGAAGAGAAGCCCGCCCGTATGGGTCCCCAGAGAACTCACCCTCGCCTACGTGAGCGCCCACGGCGCAGCGGGCCACGAACGAGTGCTGCACCAGTTCCTCTGCCGCCTGCCGGGCATCGAAGGCCTGCTCCCGCGTCGCCTGGACCTCCGCCCCCAAGGCCAGGCTGCTGTGAGGGGCCGGAGTGCCCAGCGCGTGGAGGGCGGCAGGGCTGCCCCGGGGCTCTTTCCGCACCATCCGGGCGACGCCCTGGGGCTCCTCTGGTGGCCCGGGGAGGCCGACCCCGCCCGGCTCCTCACTCCGGAAGCGGACCTGCGAGGCATAAAGACCCCCAGGCGTTCTCCGGACGGCCTACCTCGCCTTCCTCGCGCAGC